TTTGCACTCTTCCTGGATGATACCCTTGATATCCTCCCACAACTCATCTGGCCTTCGCTCATTAGTGTTCAAAGCCTCAAACCTGTTCCTGAGATGGTTAAAATAACTAAAAAGTGGGAGAGGACAACTGTGAGGGAGAGCGGATAAAAGTGTGCAACAATGAATGAATGAAAACGTTTCTGTAAACATTCATTAAAATCACAATTAAAATAATTAAAAAAAAAACACGCCTAGACTTTTCACTGTAATGTCATCAGAAATGGTAATGACAGAATTCATGTTTAGTTTTTTAATTATGCTAAATGAACGAACTCAGTTTCATAAAGATAAATACTGTATAGGAAGGACCATTATTGTAGAGCATGTACAAGGATCCAGGAGGGGGGTAAACATAAGGTCGCATAATTTGATGGGTGGAGGGAGGGACTGGTAAAGGAAAGGGGAAGGGTCCAATGTGAAAAACAATGTACATCAACTTTGTATGTAAACCAGTATAAAATATTACCTAACTTGAGAGGGGCTGAAAAGCATTATGCTGAGAGACAGTCTCACAAGGAAATATACTGTTTAAAACCATTACTGTAAAATAAGTATGAGGATCCAAGCCGAGAGGAGGGTGGAAGTAGAGGGGTGAGGAAATGCTAGGGGGGTGGGAGGCGAGAGGGCAGGGTGAATATTAACCATGGGGTCATACAATTTGATGGGTGGGGGTGAGAGGGAAAAGGGAAGGATCTGGTGTGAAAAACAATGTATTTGAACTCTGTAAATAAACTAGTATTAAAAAACCCCTCACATCAAAGATAAAGAGAAAAATCTTTAAAAAATTCTAAGGTGAAATATTTTTTGCAGGTTTAGAAATAAATAATTTCTCTTTATCAGACCCTAAAAATGTTAAAGAAAATCATCTAGAGAGAAAAACAATAGTAAATGAAAATATGTGCTACACAAAATAATGAAGAACATTAAAAATGGTAGCTACTGACAAAAAATTAATAACTATTTTTAACCCAGAAAGAAAGCAGCTTATCATTAGGAATAATACAGAAATTTTCAGAGAAATAACCAGCTGTTATGTTTAACAACAAAAATCTTTACTTTGATAAGTACAGGGACAAAAGAGGGAGGTGCTCATGATCAAGGAAGATGTTGGAGAAGGGTTCTTTTATCATTTTTTCCAATTAGCCTCAAAATCTAGAGGGGAAAAAACAAAATCAACCACCACCTGATGTCCGTGAGAATGGCTGTGGTAAAAGAAAGCAAAAAGATCACCACTTTTAGAGAGAAAGAGAGACATATTAAGGAGATTAAAAATAAACAGGTTATCGCAACTAATCCACCATCAAAAAAAAAAAAATAAACAGGTTATCAAAGAGAGGTAGAAGTAATAAAATCAATGCTTTTATTCCCAGAATAATCCTATAAAGGAAATACTATTAATTCCACTTTATTGGAAGAAAAACTAAACCTCTATCTTGTCCAGCAATGTGAGAATAAGAACTTAAGAGAGAGGCTCTTTGACTTTTCTCAATGACACCCATATCCATATCCACAAAGAAAAAGTATTCACCAATGTGGGATTATTTTCCATGGCTTCTTAGATTCTAGTATTGCTAAACAAAGAAGCAAATGGTTGACAATGGCTAGAGGTAATGGCTCACCTGATGAGTCTGCTTTATCTCTGTTGGATTTGCCTTGTGGAAACTTCTCCGATTTCAGTGCTTGAAATTTGTGCCTTGTCCACTGGGTGAGATGGTCAAGCATAGAGAACACAGTCTGTGTACTGAGTTGACACAAATCAGAAGCAATGTCTTGGGTACTTATGGCATGTTGATCATCATGCTTTAGAACTGCCATGATTTCTGCATACACCTAAGAAGAATGCATTTTGGTGATTTACAGAGTGGTTCAAGTTCTCAGCTGCTAACCAAAAAACTGAACACACTAAAAATTCTGTAAGAGAAAAATTTAACAATCTACTTTCAGAAGACTACAGTTGCTGAGTTAGTTTGGACCTCTAGCTAGCCCATGTACAGAAGAACAAAACATTGTCCATTGTCCCAGCCTCACAACTGTTGCTAAGCTTGAGCTGTTACAGCCACTCTATCAATTAATCAGATTCCTCTTTTTCACTGATCCTCCACTGGTCTTGTCTTGTTCATAGCAACATGTTCATTTTTAAGGACTATTTCAGGCTGGTTTTATTGTCTGATTTGGGGCAGTGGGAGGGGTGCAGGGGGACTGTGTACCAGGGAGGGAATCTTTCTTTTACTTTTGAAAGAGAGGCGCGAACTGGGGGGCAGGGGGAGGGGGAGAGAGCTGGGCGGGTAGAGAAGTGCAGCAAGGAATGAATGGAAATCAAAATTCTCTGTAAATGTTCATTAAATGTTGATTTGAGTGAAGATTTACAAAGCAAATCTTTTTTTCCATCCAACTATCATATACCCATTTTGTTCAAGATCAACAGGGTACTTTCCACACTTCCTGTCATTCTAATTTCCAGTCTCTCTGTGCCTTCCCTTTCTTCAGGGACTTACGCTGATGATCCCTTAGCGGGTACTGCCTTTCCCTTCCACTCACCTTACTATGTGCCTATAATCTACTTACTCATTTTTCTCCTGTTTTCTTCCCTTCTCATCACAGATAACCATCCAGAAATGATTCTGTGTGTAAACCTTTCCTTAGCTTTTTGTAACAGTGGTCTTGTAAACTTTTTTGTTTATGGAGAATTTTAGCTGCATTTCTTCCAAGACACATGTTTCTTACTGCAATCTATGATATAGTTCATATTCTTTGCTAACATCATAACTCAAAAGTATTGATTCTTCTGTAGTCTACCTTACTCGCCCATCTTTCACATGCATAGGAGGTGACTAATGTACCATGACTTGAGTCAGGCACAAGTTAGTCCCCAAGGAATTATTTTTACTTTTTAACACATTAATAAATTCTTTTTAAGCGGATTTACCCAATGTAGTATGTTATCTGATTTCTTAATTGCTGTTATCATTGCTGTTGATAGTGGATCCAAGGAAAATGTAATCCTTCACAATTTCAATGTTCTCCATTTACATTGAGGTTATTTATTTATCCAGTGGCGAAGACTTTGTTTTATTTATGTTAAGATATAATCCACACTAAAGGCTTGGGAACCTTTTGAGACAATTCTATTCTGTTCTTTGAGGATCACTAGGAGTTGAATCTGTATTCATGGCAATGTTTTTTTGTTTTACACATATAAACTGTCATTTTATTATCTGACAGGTCAAGATTAACCATTCAAAACAATTAAAAAAAATTCAAACAAAAATAGTTAAACCATAGTCATAATACATTTCTTTTCCATAATTAAATTATTAAAGATTACTCCAAAAATAAAATCTAATCAGCCATTTAAAAAAATTTCTTTATTAACTAGTAATGAAAAAGTGAAAACAAAATCTCATACCATACACTAATCAATTTCAAAGGAATGAAAAGGTCAATTAAAAAAGTGAGGAAAATATGTTCATGACATTAGCAATGGAATACATCACATTTTAAAGGGTTAAAAATGGAAAAAGCCACAAGTGATTTTTATAAATTTGAAATTTATATTTGTACTTAGGGGCTGGAATCCAGGTTGGGGAGTCATCTGGAGCAGCTGGATTCTACAGAGGTTTGTTTTCTGGTTCTGGTGTGGAGTAGGGTGGAATGTTTACTTGCCATTGGTTATGAGTTGATTTTATTTGGCCTCTTATTTAAAAAGGCTTTTGGGACCTCAGGCCTGGTTTTAATTGTTTTTGGTCATTCTTCTAAGTGGTATAGCACTGGTCAGTCCATTTGCTGTACAGAGGTAACTCATGGTTGCTGTGATGCTGAACACTGTGACACTAATATGTCAAATGTGATAATGGTCACCCATGGTGGACAGTGCTTGGTGGACCTCCCCAATTAAAACAAGCTTAGAAGCAAGAGTGGCATCCACTTCTGAAATAGCTTGCCTTCAGAAACTCTATGAACGTGGAGAAACAATGAAGTTACACAAGTGTTCAGGTCTTTCGTTCACAGGGTCGCTATGAGTCATCTACGACTCGATGGCACTTAACAACAACAATAACAAAGGTAAAAAGCACAATAAAAAGTAAAAGACAAGAAGGTTTTTGCAAAATATAACTGGCAACAAGTTGGTGTGGAGAATATAGAACAGAATAAAGAGCTTCTACATATAAATCCATAAAAACATACATATATAAACAGTTCATATAGGAAAAGAATATGAGCCGATAAAATCACAGAGCAGTACTGCCAATGCACATAACCTTTCTAGTAATGATAGATAAAAAATAAAGCAATGAAATGTCATTTTATACCCAATGTATGTTATCTAAGAAACATTTCCAAATATCAAGTGTTAGCAACTATGTAGGAAATGAATACAGCTGTGAACTTCCGGGAGGCCTAGAGCTCTGTGCAACCAACTACACAGTTGTCAGTAACATTTTAATGCACACAATCTATAATAAAACAGTTCAACTCTTTATAAGTATCCACCCTGAGAGAGGGAAAAAAGACACACACATACACATACTTTCACAGGAAAATACTGCCATGATGTTAAGTGCTGTCAAACTAAGTACAGCTCACAGCAACCCTATGAAAAAGAGATCTGAACCAAGCCCTATCCTGTGCCATACTTTTCATCTGATATAAGCACTGCATAATTTGTTCTATAACTACAAGCTCTTTAAAATAAAACTGTATGCGTATAGAGGTGTATGCACATAGTCGTGCACTGATACACATTTCTACTCAACTGCTGTCTTTCTAATATTAATTAGGTTGGTCAAAGATTCATATAGTCAGGAACTAAATAACATCTCTCACCTCCTGCTGATCTTCTTCATTACAGCCCAACAAAACATAGACAAGAATATGTGGCAGAAGATAGATGGTCACCTTAAAGTCATGCTTCATCATAATGCTACAACAGGTAAAGATTTTACTAGCGAGATCATGTCGCACCTGTAAGCACACACAGTTAGGGAGAGTAAGTAGCTTTATACATTGTACAATATATTAACTGAGTGCCAAAAAAGCACCATGAGAGACAATTATCCTGACAGAGGAGTGTTCTTTTACGAAAAGGCACCACCACCTTTCTGGCCCCTCCCAAGTCTCCCAAGCCCCTGAACTGCTGAGGCTCCTCTACACAATTTAAGCTCCCTGGCAGACAACTACCTCAACATAAATGGACTCATCCTCTTAGAGTTCATTTTACAGTATGTAACAGATGAATCCTTCTAATCAACTTTAGTATAGTTCACGTGAACTCAAAACTCAACTCACTACCCCAGTGAGAACCTACTCAAAGCTGATCCTCACTGGGTCTCCAAGGCTCTAACTCACATGGGAGGAGACTGTTGATCTTTCTCTAGCGGACTCTCTGGTGGGTTTGAACTGCCAGAGTTGCAGTGAGCAGCTCGGTTACCTAGCTAACCGTCACTCCTTGCAAAGAGATGAGATAAGCAGCCAAAATGTACGCTGTTGCTGTTTTATGTGCTACTGAGTTGATGAAAACTGCGTAGCACACTGGAACTTCACATAATTTCTCCTGTGCTCAAAAGCATTCACACTTCTAATCACTAATAAACACTGGTGATTAATTGTAAGGAGAAAAAAGAAGAAAAAATTGCTAGGAATTTCTTATACACATGCTCTAGTTTTCAATTCACTTAACATTATTATTTTCTTAAAATTTGTAAAAGCTTTCTTATCCTCAAATGTAAATCTTCAATTAAACAACAAAACTCACATCCATAAAAAAATGAAATAATCATTTCCAGAGCTAGAAGTAGACAATTTGCAGTTTTAACAGTTCACATATTGTTTTCACTGTGCTAATTACAAATTGAAGAGAAAATTTCATGAAATTGTAGGAAGAAGTTGTTATATTTTAAAATCACTAATCTGAATTAAAAACTAAAGGTGTGAATTGTAAAGACTCTACTCCTTATTAGTGCAACATCAAAATGATATCTATTTTTCTATGAAATTTCATTTTTTAAAACACATACTTATTTTTCCTTAGGAGGAGGTTCAGATCATGTATCCTCAACAGCTACAAAATGATAATATATCTTTTTCTTCACATTAAGAATACATTCTTGCTATGTAAAAACTGGTATTGTAACTGACATCCTTTTAAATAGTAGTATTATATACTATAAAATTAGTGGACACAGTTAGAGATGTTCTACAAACACATTAAAACTAGCCATTTACTCAAAGAAAATCTTCCTATCCAGGAATTACTGGTAACAATGAAGAGTTACTTATTTTGTAATAATAGAAAATATCTCTACTAGATGACAGCACAAACATTTCAGTGCCTGCTATCTATGCCAGGCACTCAGGTCCAGCCTCTCTGGCTTCCTGTAGAATTTGATTGATTAACACGTTCCGAACAAGGTTCTCTTACCTTCGTTATAAGATAACCTGCCCAAGATGCTGACCATTCTGCAAAGTTATTACCTAATTTACTTAAGTAAATTGGCTTCTTTACTCCAGACCAATCTGTTGACTTCTGAGAACTCTTGTATCTGTAATTTTGAAAATTTGTTTATAAAAAATATTTCTTAAGAAAATCCATCTGTTTCTAATCTTAGTTAAGAAAGTTTAACTAAAGCAACTTCTCCAATGACTATCTCATGGCTGCCTTACCTTAAGTGAAGTCTGATTAAAAACACTTCTTGTATCTTTACAAGGTAAAGGGAGGGAGGGAGGTTCTTCTTGCACACAAGTATCTCAAAGGATTTGAGACTAAATCTGATTTTCCTCTTTTTTCAGCACTCTTTTCCTTCTTCCTCAATTCTTGTGTAAGACAAGCCTATTCCTTCAAGGTTCAAGCAATACTATACCAATCTCTTGTTAATCATGTGCTATCGCACAGAAACCAACCCACAGCTATCCTTATCCAGAGGATTTCCAGATGTTACATATTGCGTAGGAGATTTCCTGACTTTCTCTTAAGGAACAGCTCGTGGATTTGAACTGTCTGCTTTTGGGATGGGAGCACAACTTCTTACCACAAGGCCATCAGTGCTCTCAATCTCTATCTCACCGTATTATGGGTATCAAGAAACTCATTGTTAAAAAAAAAAAAAAAAGAAAGAAAGAAACTCATTGTTAACGTCAACATATGGCTCACTGATTTTCTTTCTTCTCCAAGTTTTATTATCAGCCTGAGTAACATCAACAACTAGACTACCTCTGTTGTTGTTTGCTGCCGCTGAGTTGGCTTCAATTTGTATTTATTTATTCTATGCACGACATATTGCAACTCTGCCCAGCCCTGTGCCATCCTCCCAATCTTTGCTGCTTTTAAGGCCACTACTGGAGTCACTGAGTCAGTCCATTTGATGGAAGGGCTTCCTATCTTTCACTGACCCTTTTCTAAGGACTGGCCGCCTCCTGATAATAGGTCCAAAGTGTGAGACAAAGTCTTAGGATCCCTGCCTCTAAGCACCACCCTGGCTACACCTCTTCCCAAGACAGAATATGTAAATTTTTTCAGTATTCTTTTCCAAGACAATTCAAAGGCATTAATATTCTGTCCAGTTTAGGATTGTATAATCAAGTTTAGAACTCCCAACTTTTTTTTGCTTCAGTCCCGTTTCACTAAGAAGTTTTTTATTTCCAAAATCAACCATGTAAACATCCTAGTTTCCTAAATTTTTAGTTCTTTCACCAAGTTGCATTGACAAATTTTAACACCTTAGTCAGACCTTTTCTTTTCCCGGATGTGGTCTCTTAATCTGACATCCTCATTCCCATTATTTCTTTCCCTAGCATGCTAAATGTTTGTGAAGTTACTATTGCTATAAACGATTGGTCTTCAACCTCAATGGTACCTTTCAGGTGCCCAGAAATATGTTTCCCTTATTCGCCCTTTCTCTTGTTTTCTACAATGGCATTTTCAAGGTATCACCACTTCCCAAACCACCAATACTTTTTGTTTTAGCAGATGATTTCATTTCCTGTGCCACCTACTACATGGGGAGAGAAAAAGAAAAAAGAAAAAGAAACCACTGTTTCTCACAATCAAAGTTGCAAACAAAGCTGGGTTCCATCCATTTACTCTTTCCTTATCATAAAGAATACAGTCTCGGGAGCTCTGGTGGCCTAGTGGCAATGAGCTGCAACTACAATCCCAGAGGCGCACGGTTCAAATCCACCAGATGTTCTGCCGGTGAAGGAGGGACAATCTCCTCCTGTACCAGTCAGATCTGATTTGACGGTACACTAAACTAAAACTAAACTAAACTAAAAACGAAACTAAATTAAAGTAAAATAAAAGAATACAGTCTCATCATTAATGGCTTTGATTTTGGCCCTCATTCTATTATCTATCACTTCTTTTCCATTAACACAACATTCAGACATACTCCAACAGATTTTAGAAATTTATAGGACTGCTTTTCTTAGGGAGGGAAGTGTTGTTCCTTCTGAACTGCTGAAATTTGATGTAAATATTATCAATGGAAATGATAAGTGTAACAAAATGCCTTGCACTGAAGGATAGAGCAAACATATACTTCATTGTATTCTAGCATCTTAAAACTTGACAGATCAAATAATCTTTCATTTAACTGACACACTAAACAAGGCAAACAATCTTAATCCTCATTTTGAATCATCAGGCATTAATTAACTGTCTGTGGTTTTTGCTATTATGCGCCATCAAGTTTCTTGCAACTCTTAGTGACCCCAATGTACAACAGCTCTAGATGATTTTATCAAGTCTCATCATTTCATAGACGTTAGTTAGAAAAGGACTGACACTGAGATACAAGCTAGGGTTTATGGTTTTGTCTAATCATATCTTGATGTTTTCTCCCAAAATAATTTCCGTGACAATGTCTAACTTTAGTTAATCTATCAAGTTCTAAGTATCAATTGTTCAAAATATGTTCTTCTTGTTATTGCTATATGCCCTCGAGTTGGAACTGACTCATTGCTGACTCTCACGTAGGTTTTCAGACGCAACAAATCAATCACATGTGAGGAGACCACTAGGCCAGGTTAAGAGGGAACAATAATAATCACGCTTAAATCTAAGGTTAGTGGGAAAAATTAAGTAAGAATATTGAAGTATAATTCTTATTTCATTTTTTGGTTTTTAAAAGTTTTGAGGTATAGGAATTCTGCTGGTTTAGCAGTAAGGAGTTACACTGCCAACTCAAAGGCAGGGAGTTCAAATTCACCAGTTGCTCCCTGGGAAAAAGATGAGCAATCTCTTCCATACAATTGACAGCATCTGAAAACTTGCTGGAGGGTCAGCCACGTATCTGTTACTACTGAACAGCAATGAAAGAGAGAATGAAGCATAACTTCAAGACAGAAAAAACATGGGGATGTTTTTAGGAAACTATTCAGCCTGGGTTCTCTTATTTACCCTGGGATGAATATCAAGTAGATCAAGCTTATTTCATTACCTACTGGTTAACCCAGTTTCTTGGTGTTTAATGTAAAAGGGAAACAAGTGTATCAATACTGTCATCTTTTTTTTTTTTTAATTAGGCAGAAGTTTCAATGAGGAGACCTCAGCTGAAAAAATTTCCTAACTTCAATCCTAACTGTGGTTTAATAATGACTTTCTAATATTGCCTAGGGGGTCTCATGACTGAGTATAAAGTAACTTCACATATAAAAGCAGAAGAGCACCAACAGTCAATGTTTTATTAAGATCACTCTCATGTATGACAACTCAAATAGGAACAGAGTATCAAGTACGCAGAAAATTTTAAATAATGCTGGTTATAAGAAATAAAATGGTAATTTAAAAGATTTCTAAGTATAAAAAGTAATTTAGCAAATAAGATTTTTATAAAGAATTTAATTACAAATGCTAGACCTCAAGGCACAATAAGCAAATATAGGGCCACTAATTGAAAGGTTGTCAGTTCAAACCACCAAGTATCTGAGCAGGAGAAAAACTTGGCAGTCTGCTTCCATAAAAAGGACAGACTGGAAAACTCCATGAAGAAGTTAGTGCTGGTCTGTCCTGTGAGTTTCTCTCTCAATGCCACTGTGTTAGAACTGACTGATGGCTAACCATCCAGTGGGGTTTTAGAGATATAAACTGCAGGGGAGGAGACTGTCCATCTTTCTCCCACAGAGTACCCTGGGGGATATGAACTTGCCTTGTGGTTGGCAATACAATGTCCTCCTAACTAGGCGACCAGAGCTCTCACATGGGTTTAACAGGAGTCAAATACCAACTCAAGGGCATTTAACAAGACTAGTCCTTTACGAAGGCTCAAAGAAGTAATTTATCATAGTTCACATATCTAATACAAATGTGATCTAAAGTAATTAAAATTAAGCTTTTAACTAAATGTTATTGCTTTGTGAATTTTAACCAGCTCTATTGAATTATTTAAATTTAAACTTTTTTGTTAAAGGAAAAACAAAACTATATTCATGAAGAGAAACTGGTAAGAGACTGAGGTTACTACTGGTTTTGAGACTAGCTTTAAACTCTTAAAACGTCTGTATGAGTTAAATGTTTCATGCTTCACTTCACATTCTAGTTTTTCAAAGTATAACTCACAACTGAATAAATTAAAAACATTATTCCTTCTTGCTTCGCTGAGTATGTCTAAATACTTAAAAGTTACAAAATTCATCCCAATGAACATGAAGCAATTTCATTTTGACAATACTGTATGTATCATACATGAGAACATGCAAAATGTATTTTTAATGTTAAAAAAACTGTATCATCAAATACCAGTATTTTAATAGAATTGGAAATATTAAATGTGTTCACATACCTGGTATTTAGATGAGGCTCCAGTATTTCCCGAACATGTTCAGGAAATCTCTTCCATAACTGGTGACCTGGACCATCATTCTGCATCTCTCTACAGTCATAAATTGAAAGGAGTTCCTACAAACACATGTTTTACACTGTACGTCAATAATGTTAAAAATAAACCTATACATTCATCAGTATTCTACATGTTATGGTCATAAAATTACATAGTGAAATACAAAGAAATATGAAATCTCACAGCAGGAAAAGTATTTAGTATATTTATTTCAATGCCTAGATGACTTATTCAAGGTCATAAAGCTATGGCAGTCTTTGAATATGAAGTCTGCTGATACATGTTAAAAATATATTTTGTAACATATGTTGAAATATAAAATTGAGAGTCATGTGGAAGAGAAAATGAGAGGCTTTAGAACGTAGTCTTTTCTGAATTTCAATGAAAACAACTACAAATAAAGTCACAAATTCAAGGCGTTCTAAAAATCTAGATAAATAATATTAAGCTTATGCACACTCATGTTTATTGTGGCTTTGTTCCCAATAGCAAAGAGCTGGAAACAAGTGACCATCAACAAACCAATGGATAGAGAAGCTCTGGTATATTCACACAACGGAATACTATGCAGCAATGAAAAACAAAGAACTCATGATATTATGCAAAATGGATGACCCTGGAGGACATTATGCTGAGTGAAATACCTCAGTCACAAGAGGACAAATACTGCATAGGGCCACTGTTGTAAAATGGGACTGACATCAGAGTTAAGGTAAGACAGAAAAGGAGGGGAGGAATGATGCATATTGCATTGAAACAGATGAGGGAGAGAATTTAAAAGGGATATATGAATAGGTATTCTTGTTATTACGGAAGTCCAAAGTGAAGTTTCACTGCATAGTGGAGTGAACTTGCGGAAGGGGGTGGGGGGTGGAATTGCTTAACAATGAAAGAGCTTTTCTTTCTTTTCAAGGTGAAGAGTAAATTGTGGGATGGGGAGTGGGTAGGGAGAAATGTGCAACAATGAAGGACTGGAAACCCTAAGTCTCTGTAAACTTTCATTAAAATTAATAATAAAAAAAAAAACATTAAGCTTATCCAAGACAGACGATGTGCGAGGTAAAAGGACCATCAAGATAATAGACATTTGTTATTTTTGTGACAGGAAAGGCAACACCAAGTAAAGAAAGGTTAAGCCCACACATATTGACCTAAGTAAATGAAAATACTAGAACGTACACAAGGGACATCAGTAAATGTTAAAATATCGTCAGTTTTGCAGCAACTGTAACAGTCAAATAACACCTATGTATTTATATGTTGTTTTTATCAGGTGTACGCATAGCTCCTCTATGAATAAACAGATCAATACTTTGCCCTACTCTGTGACCTTCTCCCAATCTCCGCCACTGCAGTCACTGAACCAATCCAGCTCTTTGCGAGTCTTCTCTTCTGCTGATTATTTACTTTCCCAGGCATGAAGTCTTTTTGCAAGAACTACTGTCTACTGAAACCACAGATGTGAGATACAGTCTCACCACCCTTGTCTTCAAGGAGCACTTCTGGCTGTTCTTCCTCCAGAACAGATTGTATTTCATATTCCATACTCTTTGTCAACAGCACAAAGGCATCCATTCTTTTTCAGGCTCCCTCATTCACTGTCCAAGTTTTACATGCATATGAAACAACTGAAAATGCCGTGGCTTGGATCAGACAAAACTTTAGTCTTTAAAACTACATGCTTGCTGTCAGTCTCCTTCTACAACAGTGATACTATGCAATATTTGTCCTTTTGTGACTGGGATATTTCACTCAGCATAATGTCCTCCAGGGTCACCCATTTTGAATAATATTGCATGAGTCCTTGTTTTTCAATGCTGCATAGTATGAAGGAATTTTTCTTTTACTTTTCAAAGAGAAGAATGAACTGGGGGGGGCAGGGTGGAGCAGGGAGAAAATGGCAACAATGAATGAGTGGAAATCCAAAATCTCTGTAAATGTTCATTAAAATTAATTTAAAAAATGATAATTTTTAAAAACCCCTACATCCTTGCTCTTAGACACTTTAAAAGGGTTCCCAATAGCAGATTGAGTCAGTCCAGCACATCTTTTGATTTTTCTGACTGCTGCTACCATGGGTGTTGATTGTGAAACCAAATAAAACTAATTCCTTGCAACTTCTATCTTTTCTCTATTTGTCATTTTGTTGCCTATAAATGTAATTGTGAGGGTTCATGTTTAAGTAAAAGAATATACATTTATGTAAAATACAGATGAGTATATCAAGTGTAGGTATGTTGTTATATGCCGTCAAGTTGCTTGAGACTCATAGCGACCTTATGTAAAACTGCCCTGAAACCTGCTCTATCCTGTGCCAATTTTACCATCGCTGATACACCTACCCTCATCCCAGTCACTGAATCAATCCATCTCATCGATGGTCACCTTCTCTTTCTCTGTCCCTCCACTCTTCTAAGCATGTTGTCCTCTCCAAGGACTGATCCCTCCTTGCAACATGCCTGAAGTAAGTCAGATGAAGTCTTAGAATCCTTGCCTCCAAGGAGCAGCCTGGCTTCACCCTATCTAGGATGAACCTTTTTGTTCTACTGGCAGTCCATGGTATATTCAACACTATTCTCCAGCACCACAGCGTCAAGGCATCAATTCTCTATCATCCCTAGTCACTGTCCTGCTCTCTGATGCATAGCAAGCAATTACCAAGTCTATGGCCTGGATCAGACACACCTTCGTCTCCAAACTGACATCGTTGCTCTTCAGTGCTCCAGAGAGGTCCCAGAGAGCTGACTTTCCCAATGCAATTCATCTCCTGATTTCCTAGCTGCTGGTAACAAGAGTGTTGACTGTGGAGCCAAGCAAACTAAAGCTGTTAACAATCTTAATCTCTTCACTATCATAATGCTGCCAATAGGCCCAGTGATTGAGAATCTTTGTTTTCTTGACATTGAGCCTCTACAGGAACACTGCTTTTTAAAAAGCCCAAACCTACTGCTGTTGAGTCAAACCTCAACCCACAGTGATGATATTGGACAGAGTACAATCTCTCTATAGGGTTTCCAAGGTTGTAAATGTTTTCAAAAGTACACTGTCACAACTTTCTCCCATAGAGAGGCAATTGTGAGGAGTCTCCAAACTTGTGGTTTGCAGTCACCAAGACTCCTAGGTGTTTCTACCCATCTCTCCATCACTGAGTCTAAATCTTCCGGCAGGTTTAGAGAGGTTGAAACGCATGGGAGAAGACTCCTTATCTTTAGTCCTTGGAACAGCTGGTGCACGGGAACTAGCTGTCTTTGGGTTGGCAGACCAATTCGTCAACCATTCAGCCATCAGAGGTAGCTTTACATACATGTGTTTATAAAGACAAAAATAAATTCACTCTTGTGTCAAAACTGTGAAAACTAGCCTTCTGCATTTACTTTGCATAAGAGGCAGCTTGCACCTCAAGCATCAAGGACGGCATCACCACGCTCCTTTGGGAATCTGACTCAGCATCTCAACACCAACCACACAACAGCTTTGAACTGCTGCTGTGAACATTATATGTCAGTGTTCTCTTAGGGGGTATGTATTATTTGAGGAGCTCTGGCAATGGACTTCATAGGGAGTTGTGATGTTAATTAAGGGCTGCTCCTCTTAGGCTGTGGGAACCCACTAGACGCTTCAAGGGAGAAAGATTGGCACCTTCTCCCATACAATTTACAGTCCCAGAAACTCAACAGAGGGTGAGCTATGAATTGGTTCCTATTCAGCAGCGTGAGCGAGTGAGTGAGTGAACTGTTATTTGGTATGACTTGGCTGGTAACTATTAAGTTTAGGAACATTTAAAAACTTTTCCACATAAGTTAATGCTAATAGTTTCTTTGCTTTAGAAAGGCTTCATAAGAACTTGGGGGAAATCTTTATCTTTTTTTTCCCCATTAATTTTAATGACAGTTTACAGAGACTTTGGATTTCCTTTCATTTTTCTCCCTGCGTACCACGTACCCCCAATTTGCTCTTCTCTTTGAAAAGTAAAAGAAAATTTTTTTCATTGTTATACAATCCCTCCTCTAAGTCCACTCCACTATGCAGCCTTTGTTCTGGACTCCTGTCATGATAATAATACTTAATCATATATCCCTTTTAAACGGTTCTCTCCCTCATCTGTTTCAATGCAGTATACATTATTTATCCCCACTTTCCCAGTCTCCCCTCAACACCGATGTCAGTCCCATTTTACAACAGTGGCCCTATGCAATATTTGTCCTTTTGTGACTGAGATATTTCACTCAGCATAATGTCCTCCATGGTCACCCATTTTTAATAACTATGTTTCTCAATGCCGCATAGTATTCCATTGTGTGAATATACCAGAGATTCTCTATCCATTCATTTGTTGATGGGCACTTGGGTTGTTTCCAACTATTTGCTATTGTGAATAAAGCCACAAAAAATATGGGTGTGCATATATCCGCTTGGGTGGTAGTTATAGTTTCTTCAGGGTATATTCCTAGTAATGGAATTGCTGGGTCAAATGGTATTTTTATTTGCAACTTTTTAAAAAAAAAATTTTATTCTTTTTGTGTGTGTACCATCAAACTGGATCTGACTTCTACAGGAGGAGACTGTCCCTCCTTCTCCAGTAGAGCATCTGGTGGATTCGAACCTCTCACCTCTGGGATTGCAGTTCAGGTTCTTGCCACTAGGTCACCAGAGCTCACCTATTTGCAACTTTTTGAGAAAGCACCATACAGCCTTCCATAGTGGTTGCACCATTTTGACACTCCCACCATAAAGGTCCAGTTTCTCCACAACCTTACCAGCATTTCATGTTTGCGGTTCTGTTAAATTTTGCTATTCTTACTAGGGTGAGATGATACCTCATAGTTGTTTTGATTTGCATCTTTCTTAGAGCTAGGGATTTTGAACATTTCTTCATGTGTTTGCTGGCCATCTGAATGTCTTCTTTGGTGAAGTATCTGTTCATATCCTGTGACCATTTTTGAGTTGGGTTATTTACCTTTATCTTGAGTCCCTTATCTCACATGCCATTACCAAATATTTTTTCCCAGTCTATGGCTTCCCTTTTAACCCTGTTGGAGAAGTTTTTGGAGGTACATAGGAATTTGATTCTTAGTAAGTCCCATTCATGTATCTTTATCTTAAAAAAAAAAAAAGAACAAATGTGATGAACAAGAAAATCTTTTCTAAATGTTAATCTTGTAAACAAGAAAAATATGTTAGAGTATCTTATCTTCCCTTGCCTTTCCAATTCCACCCAACATATCTACTTCAACTACTATTTTCCTAATATTTATAAACTGTAAGCGCCACCTGGCAAACTATAATGTTATTACTCTCTGTCTAAATTTTTAAAGAGAAGCCAATTAGTGAAAAGTTTAACTAAAGAAAATACACTCAACTTTATTTAACTTTTAAATATTAAAATTTTATCTAAAGCCAGATTTCTCTGATGTTTGGTAGTTGTTTAAGCCAATGGAAGCTGTCTTTATTGGTCACTAGTAACAAATCTATTAGGATCAAAAATTCTCCAACTTTACTTTCAGGACTCTTTTCTTGTGGTTAATTGCTAGCAACTCAGGCCCTAGCTTATGCCCCCATTAGATAGAACATCATGCTAACCGGTCTCATGCCCATGGTAATAATCTATCCATTAGGCCTTTGAGATTGACAGAGTTGTCTGATTTTTGGATATCAAACGACTGCTTTTTCTCTCCAGTCTATCTTATTCTAGAAGTTCCAAAGGCACCATTCATCATCATAGCGAACGCCTCACAGACTGGTGGGAGAGGAGGTGAGGTGCACGGGGTGGTTTCGCGTGTGGTGCACACAGAGAATCAAACCTTGATCTCTCAGAGGAAGGCAAGAATGTGACGATTCTTATGTGTATAGATTACAGCTGATGACAGCTACCAGATTAGAAATTACCTCAAAAATATGACCAACACTGATTTTAAATTCACACTACAATAACATATTCACAACCAGAATGCTTAAGCACAAACAGGCCTATTCTCAATGCAGAACAAAATTTGTAAAGATGTTATTTAAAACTTCTCTTTAGTAGCTTGGCTTAACCAAAGATGGAAAAATGTTTATATAAGATTTTTTTTTCTCAGTAGCAAATCTGCATATCATGTAGATTTTGAAATATAGTCAAGAAGGTAAGAAGTTTAAAACTACTCCATTAGTATGATAAAAACTATTTTGTGTCATGTATCCTCCTCCAAAGTCACCAAAAAAAGTTATTTCAGGGTGAGATTCCTGGATCACATTCTGAGAACTGACAGATTAACTAATGCTTTCCAGTACCCAAGGGAAACAGTACAAATTGCGTTACTAGCATTAGAAGTGTCTGCAGGTAGCAAGCAACTATTCAGTGCATACCACAATTTTATTCCCACTAGCTGAGTTCACATGATTGTGTTTGTTTCCAATCCTATTTATGCTCACTGAACTTTTTATTATAATTCTGTAGCTTAATGATGTTTGTTAAATACAAAGGAAAATGGACACTGTGTTAGCAAAAATTAACTTAAACATATTAGAAAGATTTACAGAAGACAAACTAAGAATTTACTGCCCAGAACCTCTCACTTTCATGGAGGATGAAGAAACCTGGAATGAGTAACACTCTTACTCTAGCAACAATAAAGTAGTTGTTAAGTCTGGGCAAAGGGGGCCAAAGAGAAGAATGAAGAATTCAGAACTCAAATACTGATGGCCTTGCCTGCTGCTGATAAGAAGAGCAAACGGCCTTGCCTGTCTGGCTGAGCTAGCCAGACAGAGTGGAATGTCCCTCCCTAAAGACTCTGTTTATAAAAATCCTCCCCACCAAATTCATGGTGTAACTTCTCATTCTGCATCTCCAGGACGAGGAACTCACCTGAGGAGCTCCTGACTACCCTTAATAAAGCTGCATTAAGCTTTCTCTCGTTCTCTCTGCTTTCTTTCTTAAGTCCGCTAACTTAACAGTTGTTGTTGTTATATGCTGTGGAGTTGCTTGCGACTCATAGCAACCCTATGTACAACAGCCCTAAAGCCCGCTCTATCCTGTGCCAATCACATTGCCTCTGACACACCCATCCCGATTACTCCAGTCACTGAATCAATCCACCTCATAGAGGGTCTTCCCCTTCTGCGCTGTCCCTCTACTCTACCCAGCATGATGTCCCTCTCCAAAGACCTGTCTCTTTTTGCAATATGTCCAAAGTATGTCAGACAAAGCCCCAGAATCTTTGCCTCCAAGGAGTAGCCTGGTTTAACCCTCTCTAGGATGAATCTGTTTGCTTTCTTGGCAGTCCATGGTACATTCAATACTCTTCTCCAGCACCACAGCTCAAAGGCATCAATTCTCCTTCTGTCCTCCCTAGTCATTGTCCAGCTCTCTGATGTATAACAAGTGATTGCAAAGACCATGGCCTGTATCAGGTGCACCTTCATCTCTAAAGAGACACCGTTGCTCTTGAGTACTTTAGAGAGGTCCCTAACAGCAGACTTTCCCATCGCAATACGTTTTTTGATTTCCTGGCTGCTGGTGCCAAGAGTGTTGACTGTGGAGCCGAGCAAACTGAAGCTGTGAACTTAACAGTAGTTAATCTAAAACAGTTCTGTTTCTTGAACTTACTAGATAGCTAAAGTCAGAATCTGCCTGAATTTGGGAGAAATCTGCCCTATCATACAAAAATGTAACATAAATACCGAATGGCCTGTCACAGTGGAAGGTAAAGAGAAAAACATGGCTGCAAAAAAGTGACAGATCTAGCAAGGAGCAAGTGACAGCAATCTACTTGTGGCTGTGGTAGGAGGAAGAGTATGGATGAGATCCTCTCTGAGGTACAGGCACACCGAGCAGATCTAAGACTTAAAGCCCCAGCAGGACTGTTCAGAATAACATTCCAAGGGACCTCACTGACACTCTAACCAACAGTAAGACACCTGTTCTGTTCAAGTGTTCATTTAAAATAATCTGGACAAAAGCAAATCACAATGAACCTAAAACGGAAATAAAATAACTCCATGTATGTTCTTTGATCATAATGGAATTTAAATAAAAATCACAATAGGACATATCTGGAAAAGCCTTGAATATTTGGGCTTAGAACAGCAGCAACACAAGATTCGGTCAACTGGTATAATGGAGTTCTTCCAATTTAAGTGATTGAGCTTACAAAAGGTCATCTAAGATACATATAAACAATCTTTATTTATCTGGAAAAAGAGAGAGAAGGAAACCAAAGAATCAGAGAAAGAAGTGATTACTGGGAAAACTGTCTACATGAGCCACTGCCTCCTCCACCTGGAGACCAGACTGGGAACCACTACTGAATGGACTAACTGGGAATGTAATAGAGAAATTCCAACTCAAAAGGGAGAAGAATATGGAACAGAATTTCAGACTCTTAAAGGACTCAGACTTACTGAGCCTCCTGAACCTGGACACTTCTAGACAATGGCTCCAAGTTGCTCTTCAAACCTTTAATTGAAACTATTTCCTCTACTATAAAAGTGAAAGAATATTCCATGCTCTTGGATAGAAGACTTAACATTGTGAGAAAGACACTACTACCAAAAGTGATCAACAGACCTGATACAACCCCTACCACATATCATAATATCTACAACACATTATCATTCTTTAAAGAAATAAAAAAATAATCACCAACTTAATATGGAAAGAGACCTCTGGTATGCAAAGCACTACTCACAAGTTCATGAATGCTTTCTCTCTCACACACATACATACACACAAACACACAATTATGAAACACATGAGCTTGTGATGTAATTTAATCAAAATGCCTCAGTGGTAACTGATTTGGTTTGGCTTAAGGACCGAATTTACAGCTTTCTTACGAGAGAGAATTTAATAATGTAAAGCTGGTAATAATGAAATACGCACTCACCTGAATGGCATAAGCAGCTGAATCTTGAGCTCGACTATTATCGGCATATGCCAGGTAAGCCCTTGTTAGTTCCATCAGTAATCCATAAGCAAAGTTTAAATCTTCTACTCCAGTCTTAAAAAAAAAAAAAGAAAGAAAGAAAAGAAAAATTCAAGCATAAATTTCCTTTAGTTATACTGTACCTTCCAGATCAGTTTACAAGTGCATTTAACTTAGAAAATAAAGGCAGAGCAATTACATTTTGTGAGGAACATGCTCCTAAGAACATTCTACTCTACCCAAAGAGGTAGCTTTTGCCCAAGAGCAAAGCGCAGAGGGCAGGAAGGGGCAGGAAAGCGAAGTTAAGGGAAATAAGCGTGCTGGCATATTGACATGATTGGTACCAGTATCACAGAATAATACCTATAAACTGTTGAAAAGGAAATGAATTAGCTTTGTACACATTCACTGAGATCATAATAAAATGCTTCCTCCTCCTGAAAAAATATGAAATAAACAAAGGCTTTTTTCAAAACCAAAGCCTATTTCTGAGGTGTACTGAAATAATTCACAATGCAGAATTCTGACATTTTGCTTTGTTCGTTTTAAAATCTTAAAAAAATAAAATCAAATACATAATATTTTCTCAACTGCTTTCTGTAAAGCTCTGGCCATCTGAGAGGCTCCGAGAAATTATTTCTGTGTATCTCATTCTTGGAGAGTCACAATATACAATGATCCGTCAAAAGATCTAAGTTTACAATACAGCAATTTCTCAAACTCATTTGACCACAAAAACATTCTTTATACACACACTGTAAGAAAATCTTGGAAATCTAGTTTCTCATGAAAATGTCAGTGTTTAAGAAATATTATTTCAATAATTTATGTGGCAAATGAAGGAAGAAAATGGCAGTTTCCCCACCACCCCCAAGCTTGAGAAACTTATTAACACCTAGGCTGGTCATATCATGGACCAGACCAGACAACGGATCTTGGTAAGAGTCTGAGCTTGATTAATAATCAATAAAAGTATACTTCTTCTACATGCAGTATTACCCAATGCCTACACTTTAATAACCCAAGTACCTCTAAATTCCATTTCTTAAAATCAAACTTAAATAATAAATTCTTTACTATATCTCTCCACTCTCTCATCCTTTATTTGCCTTTATGTAGACTAACCCAGAAACACTGAAAATCAGTTAATATAATTAAGACAATGATTTTAGCTAAATTGTTCTAACAAACTCAGTCTAATAAAAAAAGTATCCTAATACACTGTTAAGGCAACTGCCTCTTAGTTCAAGTATAGGTTGCGCATAAGCACAATCAAATGTTCTGGGATTCCAATTCCCCTCAGAATTAGCCACAGCTTGTTGTAATCCACACAGTCAAAAACCTTTACATAGTCAATAAAGCACAGATAACCATTTCTCTGGTATTCTCTACTTTCTTCCAGGATCTATCTAACATTAACTATAATATCCCTAGTACCATGGCCTCTTCTAAACTCAGCCGGCATCCACATCTGGCAGTTCTCTGTTGATGTGTTGCTCCAGTCGTTTCTTGGTAATTTTCAGCAGAATCTTGCTTGCATATAATATTAATAATATTGTTTGATAATTTCTACACTCTGTTGGGTCACCTTTCTTTAAAATAAAAGTAAGTGTGTCAGAAACAGTGAGGTTGGCGTAGGATAGAGCAGGGTTTAGGACTCTTGTACATAGGGCACTATGAGTCGCAAGCAACTAGACGGCACATAACAACAACATACCCTGTTATATATACATATATTAAGTTATCTTTAGCACCAGACTCCAGTGCAATCCAATCCTAATAAGCTTCTCCAGTCTTTCTTTTACCTTTTTAATTACTAACTGGATCTCAGAACTTAGTCCTAGAAATGCCCCACGTACTGTAGATCAGTTGCTCTCCTATACCACTGTTATCTGGCTACAGGAGTCCCTCCAAGACTTCACTCCTGACCAAATATCCTTCTATACTTTCTGCTTATTCTTCCTTCTCTAAATAAATATGACATCTCCGCTCTGCATCATCTTTTCTGTAATGATCACTAAACATTCTCTCTGAACCTAACCTATCATTCATAGCTCTGCCTCAGTGCTGTCCTCCTGCTACGTATGCACCCAACTATCCACTATAGATTAGATTATCATCCCTGGCCCAATTCAAAACTAGACCTCAACCAGAGCTGTCCTATTTCACTCTTCATACAAAAACAGGGCCTGGTTTTTTATTAGAAGCCCTCTCAAACAATTGCTCCAGATATGGCCTTCAAACATTACACATTATCCAAAAAAGCCATCAAATCCTTTCCCCCAAACTTCCTCCCACTCTCAATCATCAAACCTATTGCCCTAGACCACATACCAATGTCACAAACCACCCCTCCCCACCTTCACTTATGTCTGTCTAGACAATCTTCCCTTCCTTGAAAAATTCTCCTATGCAAAGTTCTTATCCCAATCCCATCTTCTTTTTTTTTATTTTTATTTATTTGTTTGCTCTTTTTATGTGTGTACCGTCAAATTGGATCTGACTGGTACAGGAGGCGATTGTTCCTCCTTCTTCAGCACAGCATCTGGTGGATTTGAACCGCCCACCTCTACGATTGCAGTGCAGTTTCCTGCCACTAGGCCACCAGAGCTCGCCCCATCTTCTTTTCTAACCAACTCATTCATAGTCCACAACCACATCACCCCAACCTACCCCATATACCAAACTTTATGCAGAATAACATTATCAGACTTCCCCCTAACTCATTCTGCCCTCTGCTTAGGAAAAAGCCCAGTTCTTCTCTTTCATCACTTAATATAAACTCCCTACAACCTCAAGGTTGGCACTGCCTGCTGTTCTGCTGTTACAAACTGCCCTGTCTATTTGTCTCTTTCTATATCACCCAACAAAAATACTGCTCACCAAAAATAATCTCTTCAGCCTCTAACTCCAGCATATTTAGTTACATTTTTCAGGTCTTATGAACAGAAATCAACACAGACCAGATTCAGCTTCTGTTCAAAGTCAACTACTAAAGATGCCTGAAAGCAAGCAGCAGTCTCTTCTTCGCCTGTGGAAACAGCATCTTCTCCTGTCTGCCAACCAACTGGACGGGAGCACGCACACTAGCTTATCTACTTCCCCCTGTTTCATTCACAACCAACTCTGAATTAATACCTATTCTCCTAACCCAAAACCTTAGACACAAATGGGCAATTGTGGGATTCTTCCCGTTAGTGTCTGGCCTGGGAAAAATAACAGGAGTGGACACAGGCACAGCAGGCCTGAAGTCTCCTTAGGAAGTCTTTTAAAAACTCTCCAAAAGCCACCAGACTATATTGCAACTCAGCATACTGCAGTGTAAGACCAGAAATTACACCTTGGCTACAACTTTTTAGTCATATTCTTCATAACTCTTGCTCCCTGCTTCATAAATCTCTTCCAGAAATTTTTAATGGACCGCCTCACTGCCATCTCCCGAGCCACTGCCCAAGAACACGTGAAAGCGATGTTCCTCCTCCAGTCCTTACAGGAAACCAACACCAGGCCCCAATTCAGCAGGAAGCAGCCAGAGATAACTACGCCCCTATCCATTATATTCCTTTAGGGTCTGAAATGAAGGAAGAATATGGCAGCTGCCCCACCACCCCCAAGCTTGATCACTTCCTGAAAAATTTGGTAACACCTAAGCTGGTCATATCCAAGACCAGACGAGACAATGGACCTGTTAAGAGTCTAAGCTTGATTAAAAAAGCTAAAGCCTAACTTAATTAACATGTCAAATGAGAAGTACTATCTTAGTCCTCCCCAAGACTCCAATAAAAAGAAAACCCCCTCAAACTGCCTGCATGCCATTTTGATCCTGTCCACATGCTGTGTGGCCAGGTCACGTGGCGTCTCCCTCAGACTGTGCAATCAAGGCCTGTTCATTTATGGGGACCAATTTCTTCCTTCATTTCTCTCCCTCACACCCTCATGCTCTTTTTTTACATCTAACAGCAAATACTTCTCATCATTAGATTGGGAAGCCTTTATTTTTAAAAGAGCACAAATAAAATTGGGTCCAGACTTTGGTACTTTTAGCTGACTTTGTCATATTTTCAAATAATAAACTCAGAAGTTACCCATATTGTGTTTTAGAAGAAGTTATGACTAAAGATAATCTGAAAGCTCTTAATAAATGAAATACAGAAAGCACAGAGAACTTTTTCTTGACATTCTAAATTATCACTACTTACCACAAACGTAAAATCTTTTCCTTGGGTTTCCGTTGTTGAAAAATCTAGTCGACCTGGATCTATTGCTCCCAATTCCCCTAAACATTCCCCACACAACAGTCGAGCTTGTGAGTTTGCATCCTGGCAACCTTTCAAAAGCACTGTCACCAACTGTGAAATAACAGGTTCCACTGTTTCACTGTCAGTTGCATATTTTATCAATTCTTCCTACAACAAAAATAGAAAAAAAACTTGGTTATCATGTTAACAAAGCAAAGCAAAGAGTAAGAAACATGTTCCTATCAATCGATACCAAAAAGATCTTTCACAATGTTCAATATCCCTTCCAAATTAAAATACTGAACAAAATAGGATTAGAAGGAAATTTCCTCAACATAGTGAAAAGTATATATGCAAAACCAAGAGCCAACATCATTCTCCAGAAAGACTAAAGGCATTCCATGGGTGAACAGGAATCAGACAAGGTAGCCCAGTATCACCTCTCCTATTCAGTATTGTATTTTAAATCCTTGCTAGGGCAATAAAACAAGAGAAGGAAAAAGAGGGATCCAAATTGGCAAAAAGGAGGTAAAACTGTCTTTAGAGACTGAGTTAACTGACTCAGCACAATGTTCTCTAGACTCTTCCATGTTGTACAGCATTTTACAAAATCACTGTTTCTTAGTGATCCATAGTATTCCACTGTGTGAATGTACTACAATTTGTTTAACCATTCGTTTGCTCACAGACATCCAGGCTCTATTTTCTTGCTCTTGCGAATAACACTGCTATGAACACTGGTATACATATCTCCATTGGTGTCTTAGTTCTAAGTTCCTTGGGATATATTCCCAACAGTGGAATAGCTGGGTCATATGGTATTTCTATATTCACCTTTTTTTAAAAAAAAAAAAATCTAAATTTATTTTAATGAAAGTTTTCAGAGACTTTGGATTTCCATTCATTCATTGTTACACTTTTCTCCCTGCTCACCCCTCACCCCAGTTCACTTTTCTTTTTGAAAAGTAAAAGAAAAAATTCTTTCATTGTTATTCAATCCCTCCCCCCAAGTCCACTCCACTATGCCACCTTCGTTCTAGACTCCTTTCATAACATCTAACCATATATCCCTTTTAAGCTGTTCTCTCCCTCATCTGTTTCAATGCAGTATACATTATTTATCCCATCTTTCTCTCTCTCCCCAACCCCTATGTCAGTCCTCTTTTATAACAGTGGCATTATGTTGTATTTGTCTTTTTGTGACTGAGATATTTCACTCAGCATAAGGTCCTCCAGGATCACTCATTTTGTCTATCTCATGAGTTCCTTGTTTTTCAATGCCGCCTAATATTCCACTGTGTGAATATACCAGAGATTGTCTATCCATTTTTTTGTTGACGGGCACTTGGGTTGTTTTCAACTCTTTGCTATTGTGAATAAAGCCGTGATAAACATAGGTGTGCATGCAGCTTTTTAAGGAAATGCCAAACTGCCTTCCAGAGAGGCTGTACCATTTTACAACCCCACCATCCAAACGTGAGTTCCAACTCTCCACATCTTCTACATTTACTGCTTGCTGTTCTATTAAACATTGCTACCGAGGAGATACATCTCATTACTGCTTTGATTTGCATGTCTCTATTAAGGATTCTGAGCATTTCTTAATATGTCTGTTGGTCATCTGAGTGTATTCCTTTGTGAAAGGACTTCTCATTTCTTTTGCCCATTTCGTTACTGGGTTATCTCTGCCTTTTGTTACGAAGACTCTCCAGCAGTCTGTAAACTTTTACTATGAAACCTTTGTCTAAGATGTCCTTGATTTTTCCCAGTCTGTAGATTTTTTTATCACCCTTTTGGGGTGAAAAAGTTTTTGATGTACACAGAGACTAATTTTTAGAAGGTCCCGTTTGCTGATTTTATCTTCTCCTGGTTTTGCATTTCCAGATATCTGAGGGCTGGACAGTGAATAAGGATGGCAGTAGAAACAGCGACGGTTTTGCGTTATCAGAGAAGAGTACTGAAAGCATGGACTGCAAATGGACTGCAGTACTGAACAAAGAGATAAGTCCTGTACAAAGTACATTTGGAGGCAAAGATGGCAAAGCTTCATGTCTCATACATTGGACATATTGTTGTTGCTGTTATGTGCCATCGATTTGCTTGCCACTCACAGTGACCCCATGTAAAATAAGCCCTAAAATCTGTTTTATTCTGTGCCAACTTTACTGTCTCTGACACACTAATCCCCATGACCCCAATCACTGAGTCAATCCATCCCGAGGGTCTTATCTTGCGCTGTCCCTTCACCCTTCCAAGCATGACATACCCCTCCAAGGACTGGTCCCTCCTTACAACACACCCAGAGTATGTCAGACAAAGCCTCAGAATTCTTGCCTCCATGGAGCAGCCTGCCTTCACCCTTTCCAGGACAAGCCTGTTTGTTCTCCTGCTATGTTGTTGTTGTTATGTGCCGTCGAGTCGTTTCCGACTCATAGCGACCCTATGCACAACAGCTCTAAACCCTGCTCTATCCTGCGCCAACCGCACCGCCTCTGACAAACCCATCCCGATTACCCCAGTCACCGAATCAATCCATCTCATAGAGGGTCTTCCCCTCCTGTGCTGTCCCTCCACCCTCCCAAGCGTGATGTCCCTCTCCAAGGACCCATCCCTCCTGGCAACATGTCCAAAGTATGTCGGACGAAGCCCCAGAATCTTTGCCTCCAAGGAGTAGCTTGGTTTAATCCTCTCCAAGATGAATCTGTTTGTTTTCCTGGCAGTCCATGGTACATTCAGTACCCTTCTCCAGCACCACAGCTCAAAAGCATCCACTCTCCTTCTGTCCTCCCTAGTCATTGTCCAACTCTCTGATGCATTAACAGACGATTGCAAATACCATGACCTGTATCAGGCGCACCTTAGTCTCCAGAGAGACACTGTTGCTCCTGAGTACCTTTGAGAGGTCCCTAACAGCAGACTTTCCCATCACGATACGCTTTTTGATTTCCTGACTGCTGGTACGAAGAGTGTTGACTGTGGAGCCGAGTAAACTGAAGCTGTGAACACTCTCAATCTCTTCATCATCCATCCTGACGCTGCTAATTGGTCCAGTGGCGAGAATCTTTGTCTTCTTGACGTTGAGCCTTAGTCCATACTGAAGACTGCAGTCCTTGACCCTTCGCAGCAAGTGCATGAGGTCCTCCTCAGTTTCAGCAAGCAAGGTTGTGTCAACTGCATAACGGAGATTGTTAATAGATCTTCCACCAATCCTGATGCCACAATTCTCTTCATAGAGCCCAGCCTCTCGGATAATCTGCTCTGCATACATGTTGAAAAGGTATGGAGACAGGATGCATCCCTGGCATACACCCTTCCCAATTTTGAACCATGCAGTGTTACCCTGCTCTGTTCTGACTACTGCCTCTTGGTCCAAGTATAGGTTTCGTATTAGCACAATTAAATGTTCTGGGATTCCCATTCTTCTCAGAGTCAGCCACAGTTTATTATGATCCACACAGTCAAATGCCTTTGCATAAATCAATGAAACACAGATAGACATTCTTCTGGTATTCCTTGCTTTCAGCCAAGATCCATCTAACATCAGCAACGATATCCCTAGTACCACGACCCCTTCTAAACCCAGCCTGGACTTCCGGAAGTTCTCTGCTGATGTGCTGTTCTAATAGTTTTTGGATGATCTTCAGTAGACTCTTGCTTGCATGTGAAATCAATGACACTGTTCTGTAGTTTCCACACTCAGTTGGGTCACCTTTCTTTGGAATGGGAACAAATGTAGATCTCTTCCAGTCAGTTGGCCAAGTGGTTGTTCTCCAGATTTCTTGGCACAACTTAGTGAGCACATCCAGGGCAACATCTGTTATCTGAAATACTTCAATTGGTATACCATCTATTCCTGGGGCCTTATTTTTTGCTATTTCCTTCAAAGCAGCTTGAACTTCTTCCTTCATCACCATAGGCTCTTGCTCATATGTTATTTCTTTAAATTCCTCTGTATCTGCCAATTCCTTTCTATATAATGACTCAGTATATTCCTTCCATCTTCTTTTAATACTTCCTGGATCATTTAATATTCTGCCCAAAGCATCCTTGATTACAGCAACTCCAGGTTTGAATCTGTTCTTCAGTTCCTTGAGCTTAAGAAATGCTGAGCGAGTTCGGCCCTTTTGATTTTCTGACTCTAGCTCCTTGCACATTTCATTGTAGTATTTTGCTTTGTCATTCCGAGCAGACTTTTGGAATCTTCTGTTCAGCAGCTCTTTAGTATCTTGAATTCTTCCTTGTGCTTTGGCTTCTCTACACTCCAGTGCAATCTTCAGAGTTTCTTCTGACATCCATTTTGGTCTTTTTGGTCTGTTATGTTGTTAGGAGGGGCTATTCCTTGGAAAGGAACATAATGCTTGGAAAGGTGGAAACGATCAGTGAAAGACAGGAATTCCCTCAACAAGATGGACCAACCCAGTGACCACAGCAATGGGTTAGACTATGTGAGAGATGATGAAGATGGCACAAGACAGGGCTCAGATCTGTTGTTCATAGGGATGGTGAGCATCATATTCAATTCAACACATAACAATAATAACATATTCAATCATGGGAGCTCTAGTAGTCTAGTGGGTAAGGAGTTCCAGTGTCAACCCAAAGTCATGCAGTTCAAATCCACCAGCAGCAGAGAGGGAGAAATGCAATTTCTAGCCTTTGAAAACCTGCTGGAAGGTTTTCTGAGTTACTTCTGACTAGAGAGCTCACAATAATATCATATTACATTAAGAAGAGACTCTTTTCAGTGTGTCAAGGATGTGTCCTGTCTTGACACCTTTTCAATATATATGTGTAACAGATCATTTGAGAGGATGGACTTCATGAGGAGCAATGTGGCATCAGGACTGGAGGAAGACTCATCAACAACCTACATTATGCAGATGACACAACCTTGCTTGCTGAAACTAAGGAGAACCTAGAGCAGTGGCTGCAGAAGGTCAAGGACTGTCATATTCAATATGGATTGAAGCGTAACATCAAGAAGACAAAGATTCTCACCACTGGCCCAGTTGGCAGCACCATGATAGATGGAGAAGAGATTGAGGTTGTTAACAACTACAGTTTGGCTCCACGATCAAAACTCTTGGCTCTAACCATTAGGAGTCAAAAGATGAATTGTACTAGGAAAATCTGCTGTCTGGGATCTCTCTAGAATACTGAGAAGCAAGGATGTCAGTCTAGAGACTAAGGTGTGCCTAATCCAGGACATGGTCTTCACAATTACTTGCCATGCCTCAGAGAGCTGGACAATGATTCAGGATGACAGAAGAATTTATGCTTTTGAGCTGTGGTACTGGAGAAGAGTCTTGAACACACCATGGACAGCCAAGAAAACAAAATAGGTTTGTCTCATAGAGAGTGAAACCAAGCTTCTTCTTGGAGGCTAGGATTTTTCTTCCTTCTTTATTAATTTATTCCTTTTTTTATTGGTTTGCATCCAATAATTCATATACATTGTGTTTCATTCATGTATATTGTGTTTTATATAATCTTTCATTTGCATTATGTTTCATATACTCATTCATATACATTGTATTACATAAATTACTTATGATCTTAAAAAAAAAGAAAAAGAGAGAGAGAGATTCTTTTACGTTACCAAAAACCCAATAATAGACAAGCAAAGGGTAGTTAAGAGTTATCACAGGACAAAGAGTGAGTCTTTAATATTGATCACATAAACTTCATAAGTAAAAAGTAATAGAAACCTAAGTCTGAGGAGCTCTGAGACTCCCCTCATCTAGTAGAACCATCCCAACCCAACATCAAGTGCTATGCCACGTTGGCTTATACCCGTCACAGCCATGTTCTCACTGTTATCACATACACTTAAATAAACACATGCTTCTATTATGAGAGTAAACAAAAGCCAATTCTGTGACCCATGGGCATTTTAGGCGCTCATATCCTACCGTATCACCTGGGCTCTTGATATACAAAAATGAGAAACTCATTAAATTTTTCTAATTTATAAACTTATACCAGTTTCCACTCAGTGAGCTCCAGTGTTTTAAATGACTATGATCTTTCAGAAGCACATCCTCAGGACCTTCTTCCGAAGCACCTCTGAGTGAATTCTAACCACCAACCTTAGGGTTGTGGTAGCTCTGTGGGTACCTCAGGATCTGAGATTTTAAATATGAGTCCTCACTGGCATCAAAGCTAGGGATAAACTGTGCCAAGGAACAGGATCAAGCTCCCTAGACATTTGAAAAAATAAACATAGAAATTTAGCTTCATGAAAACCCACTAAGAGAGCTGATGTAATTAAAATATAAAACTGCAAGACTACTGGCATTTTGTATGACAGATATTCACAGAAAATCATGTGAGAAGTAAAATGAGGCTACATAAACATTTACGTAAGTAAGATGCAACAATCTAAACTTAACAGTTAAGTAATTACTTTTCAAAATACAAGTGTATTTTCCTAATCTTTGGTGTTTAGTCTCATAGGACATTACTGATTCTCAGTCAGATCTGAGGAGTTAGAAAAAATACAACATCACTTTTCATTGAATTTACTAAGTCCCAAAGAAGAATGTCAAATTTTCATTTTTCCTTTAAACTTTCAATCTTTCTTCTTTGTAATTTTATTATTTTAGCATACCTGGTTTTTATACAAGGTTTCCTTCAGGCTGGTAAGAGCATGAATACGAACATCTACGTTTTCATGTTGAATAGCTTTCATGGAGAGCTGAAGAGTTGTTTGAAGGTCAGTACTCTCAGAAGTTTCCTATACAAACAGCATAGAGAAAGACTTCATTTTTATTTAAGATAAAAAGCAAAGATAGATTTGAAAGTTACCTCCCAAAGATAGAGTGGACATTCTATCTTGGAAAGGCAATGTGGAGGAGGCCGAAAGATACCTAAGTAACTAACAATTACATGAACTATTTCTGAAGGCCTTAAGTTGTTATGTGTCAACGAATCACCTGTGACTCATAGGGACCCTTTGTATATATAACAGCCCTAAACCCTGCTCTATCCCATGCCAATCTTACTGTCTCTGACAACCCTTCCCCCATTACCCCAGTCACTGAATCAATCCACTTCATTGAGGATCTTTTCCTCTTGTACAGTCCCTCCACCCCCGCCCAAGCATGATGTCCCTGTCCAAGGACTGGTCCCTCCTTGCAACATGTCCAAAGTATGTCAGACAAAGCTTCAGAATCCTTGCCTCCAAGGAGCAGCCTGGTTTCACCCTCTCCAGTACGAACCTATTTGTTGTTCTCTTAGCAGTCCACAGTATATTTAATACTCTTCTCCAGCACCACAGCTCAAAGGCATCAATTTTCCTCCTATCATCCCTAGTCACTGCCCGGCTTTCTGATTCATAGCATATAATTTAAACACTATCCCAATTAAGAGATGTTTAAAAAAGAATAACATTTCCATTTCTTATTTCATGTAGTACACAGTCCAGTCTAACATCTTTAATAAAGGAAATTTTTGATTTCAAATAAATAAGAATTCACTTATTTGAAAGAATTTTCTCTTGAAGTATAAATTTCTTAACTTACAAAGGGTCACATAACATCCCTGAATGAGGCTGATGAGTTAGGCAAATAATTTAGTCTTTTTTTTCCCTAACTTTAATGGTAAAGGGAAGCAGCAGGGGCTGGAAGGAGGATTGATGAATTCTTCAGATCAACTCTGGACTAATTATCTAGTCATCAAGAATTAACCAGCAAAATATTAACTCTAAATATAATTCTTTTTTTTTCTTTTCTAGATATAATTCTAAAGGCTCTCTACTAATTGTTTTAGAACCTGGAAACAAATAAGAAATTAAATACCTTTCTGTATTCCTGGAGAACTGCCTTTATTGTTTTTAGTTCTGGATGATCAGGTAAAAAATATATTTCATGAAGAAAGTCTTGCACAGCATCCCTAATTATGTGAAAGAAAAATAATTATTTGCAAGTAATAAGAATATGAAAAATGTAAAACAGAGATGAAAACCGGTATGAATTTAATTCACACAGGTCTGTTGTTGTTATGTGCCGTTGAGTCGCTTGTGACTCATAGCAACCCTATGTACAACAGCCCTAAACTCTGCTCTGTCCTGTGCCAATCGCACTGTCTCTGACACTCCCATTCCAATTATCCCAGTCACCGAATCAATCCACCTCATAGAGGGCCTTCCTCTCCTGCACCGTCCCTCCACCCTCCCAAGCATGATGTCCCTCTCCAAGGACCAGTCTCTCCTCACAACATGTCCAAAGTATGTCAGACAGAGCCTCAGAATCCTTGCCTCCAAGGAGCCACCCGGTTTAGCCTTTTCCAGGACAAATCTGTTTGTTTTCCTAGCAGTCCATGGTATTCTCAATACTCTTCTCCAGCACCACAGCTCAAAGGCATCAATTCTCCTTCTATCCTCCTTGGTCATTGTCCAACTCTCTGATGCATAACAAGTGATTGCGAAGACCATAGCCATGGATTCTACAATTGGAGTTGGAGCCATTCAAATTTTATTGTATTAATCTGTTAACCAGGTTTTTCTTTTCCTTAAGCTTTTATCCTCTAATTGCCCTAGAGATGCAAAGATACTAGTAGCGGATTATTGGCATGCAAAGTATTCTTTGCATCTCTAGGGCAATTAGAGGATAAAAGCTTAAGGAAAAAAACCTGGTTAAAAGATTAATACAATAAAATTTGAATGGCTCCAACTCCAATTGTAGAATCCATGTAAATAACACTCTTAATATTTTTTCAGACTACTCAACTGCCCTTTAACTATGAGAAGTTAAACTCAGAATTACACAACAGGTGAAAAACAACTTCAATTGCGTATTATTTTAACTAAACCATGCCTAAAATGATGCTATTCCTATTAGCTCAATTTCTGCTAACTTAAATTACACCAATTATTTTTATTTACTGATGAATTCAAAATTGAAAATAATTAGAAAATAAACCTTGAGACAGAAAAACACACTAACAAGACTACCTTTATTATTCATTTCAGTTACCATACCTATTTTCAATGATGAGGTAGTAGAATATAGCTGCCGTTTCTTTAGGCTGGATGTGTATGAGAGGTAACAAAGCTACTATCACGTGACTGAGAAGGGAGCCCAGACAAGTGTGATCCAGGCAACGAACAAAGCAGTCCCAAGCTCTGTGTGAAAAGAAGTCATAAAAATTAACAGTCACATCATCGATTTATTTATAAAGTCCCATCAGTAACAAACTAGCTAAAATTAAAAGTATACATGTAGACATTACAAGGCAAACATAAAAAAAAGGAAAATGAAATAAAGATCAACAGTATACGCTCAGAGTTGACTTTAGAATATTTTAAGTCAAAAAAGCAAAGTGAAAATAGTTTACATACTACATCTAAAGAAATGAAAATATGAGTAACTTATGTATGTATAAGAGTGTGTACATTTGTTTATAATCGTAAAAAGGAAGGATAAAAGCGAATGTAAAGAGATAAATATAGGAATAAGGAACAGAAGTTAGAGTATCCTGAAGAGTAATTATATCTGTGCCTCTTATACAGATTTTAACTTACAACTATATAAATGTCACATATGCTCCTTAATTAAATAGAGAAATCAAAGCTGTTTAAAATATTAAACAAATAGAAGCAACCGAATCTAAGTGAATAATCAAATTGGTTTCATTATCTATATCTAAAATAGTATTTCATATTACTTTAAAAGTATTTAAAATATCTTCAGCAAGATTTCACTTGCATGTGATATTAATGACATTGATAATTTCCAGATTCTGTTGAATCACCTATTGTGGGAAAAGAAATCAATATGAATCTCTTCCAATTAACTGCCATCCAAATGTCTTGGCATAGCCTTTTAAGTACATGCAGGCCTACGTCTGTCTGTCAGAACATGTAAACTGGTATTCCATTCATTGTTGGGGATTTATTTTTGGCAAAACCTTCATGGCAGCTTGAACCTTCTTCCTTCAATCCTCACTACTTGTTGATCAGATGTGATTTACAAAAATGATTCTGTGTCAATTAGTTTTTGCTTCAGTGACTGTGTATTCCTTTCACCTTCTTTAGATGCTTCCTGCATTAATCAAGATTTTTCCCATAGCATCCTTGAGTACTGCAACTTGACACTTGAATTTATGAGTTCTTTTAGTTTAAGAAACCCCAAATTAAGTCCTTCCTTCTTTTATTTTCTAACTCTAGCTCTTTGCACGTTTTGTTATAATACTTCTGCTTTGTCTACTAAAGCTGCCTTCTGAAATCTTTTATCTCTTTTAATTTAGCACTGTTTCCTTTGTTCTGGCCATTCAACATTCTAGTGCAATTTTGAAGCGTCTCTTCTGATTCATTTTGGTTTTTCTTTCTCCCCATCTTTGTAATGACCTTTTGCTTTCTTCATGGATATCTCTGATGGCATCCCACAACTCCTTTGTTCTTTGATCATTAATATTCAAAGCCTCAAACCTATGCTTGAGATGGTTTTTAAGTTCAGGTGGGCTACACTATAGATTGTATTCTGTTTCTTGTGGACTTGTTAGCCTCAGTTTGAACTTGCACATCAGGTATTGATGGTCTGTTCCACACTTAGCACCTGGCCTGGTTCTGACTGACACTGAGCTTCTCTGATGATTCTTTAAATCCCCAGGGAGTTCTAGTGACACAGCCCATAGCAGGTTGTGCTGCTAACCCCAAGGTCTGAAGTCTCCAGCTGCTGGAATCCATCCTCGTCAGCAAGAAGACAGTTTCCTCCCATTGAGACTTACAGCCTGAGAAACACAACAGAGGGCTCTTATGAGGCAGGACTGTCTAGATAGCAGCGAGATTGAGAGTTGAAAGAATTACTAGTTATTTAT